ACAGAGGCGTCTCCATGGTGACTGGAATAGGCTGCTCAGGGGAGCAAAGCCAGGGACTCACCCAGCCAAGGGCGCTGGGATTATGGATAATCAAGTCAGCACCATTCCATGGCACCATTGCTCTGAGGCTGGGTTCCAGCTCTGTGCCTGACCCAGAACGATAGGAAAAGGAAGCGGCAGGTTTCCATGGCCCCAACTAAACACAGCCTGCTTGGGCCATCTGGTGCCCTGGATTCTGGGAGAGGAGGGGGTGGTGGAGAGAGCAGCTGGCAAGCTCCTTTCACCTGCTGCTGCTGTGAACCATCCAGAATAGAGGCCCCTCAGGGAGAAACAGGCCTGAGAGGTGCAGACTTTTCCAGCCTTCTTCCCCTCCTTGGTCCTCCATAGACTGAGACAGTGCTTCAGGAAGGGGACATTCACAGGGGAGAGAAGAAAGGGGAAGAAAACAGAATCACCAAGCCTTTCCTGGTAGCTTACAGGCACTAGCCCTTCCCTATAGCTTGTGAATTGGGGTACCACTCCCATGTAGGGAGTCCACAGGACTTTCCTCTTTTCTGGAGTGCCCTGGGCAAGACTTACTCTTAAAACTCAACATGATGTGGAGATAGGGAATGTCCAGTATTGCATAGTGGAATTGGGTCAAGCCTGGATTCAAACATTTCTACATGACTTTGAATTACAAGCTCAACCTCTAAGCCTCAGGATTCCCATCAGTAAAATAGAGATTTTATAGCTGCCTGTTGACAGGCAACAAAAGTTAGCTGCTATTAAGGGATGCTAAGTGTGTGCAGGTCCCTTGAAGGAAATTCCCTTTATTTTCAGAGAGGGGGTGACTTTTATCTTTTTTACTCTGCAGTCTGACTAGCTCTCCAGATCTCTCCTTCTCCCGAGGGGCTGGAGAGGCAGCACCTGGCATGGTGGGCAAAGCTGCCCCCTCCTTCCTGGAAGCGGCTTCCTTTACCACCTCCCCTTCTCTGCCTAGTTCCCTGAAAACACCCCAGGCTTTCAGCTCAGGGTTTGCAGGAAGGGCGGGGGGCAGGTCTGTTTGCTGGGGCAGTGAGAGGTAGAACCAATGCCCCTTACCACAGAGGGGTCTTGGGATGGGGAACGAGGCAGGGAAGTAGGGAAGTAACGACAAAATGGTGCAGTAAGGAAGAAGGGTCAGGAAAACATATATCCAGAAGGCAATTCAAAAGGCCACAACTTCCTTTGCTCCTCAGGTGTGACTGCTCTGGGTGTCGCACCCACAATGTGCTCTCCATCCCACTGGACAGAGGTCACAGTGGGACAGGAAAATCTGACAGCCACTTGTGTGCACTGCACGTAAAACCCCCATGCTGTTCAGTTGGTATAAAAAGCATAGACGCCACCAATTAGGGGCCCAGCTCTGGGCTCCCACCACACTGTCCTCACCTCCCGGGTCTAAGGGAGGTTGCTCCTGGTTCCTTCAGGAACGCTGGGGAAGCGGGTTGGGGGGAGGCCCCTGAGCCCACCTCCCAGGGGACACTTTGGAAGCTTTGCCACCTGGGACTGGGATCCACAGAGCTGGCTGAATTTTCTCTCTGGAAAAAAGGAGTGGAGGAGACAAGCAACAAACTGATCTCCAAAGATTGAGGAGCATTTTCTTCAGCTTTTGAAGTCACCTGTGCTCTTGGCAGGTGTGGTTTGGGGGAAAGGAATTGCAAAATCCATACAGCAAGGATGGTCCACCAGCACGGGCACCCTGCACGGCAACATGACGGGCACCGGCTGGTACTCAATACACAGGGCAACTTCCGAGACCTACTATTCGGAGCTGACTGTCCCCCATACCCACAGCTGTGTGATGGGAGGCGGGTGTGTGAGACGCAGAGACTGGACCATAGCTCGGGGGCCATTTCTGCTTTTAGAATACTGGTACGTTTTTTATTAAAGAAGAGAATAAAGCATTTGCAAATATATTTCTCTCATATACTTCAAAGGTGATGCTGGTCGGCTGCTACATAACTGGGGAGCAAACAGGCAGGAGCCCTTACCCCACCCCGTCCCACCCCACCCTCTCCACCCTAGATGACAGAGACACAAGGAGGGCTGGGAGCTACCCAGCTCCATAGGACAAAAGGTTCCAAGATGTGCGGACGGAAGGACCGGATGGAAGGACCAGCCGACAGCTCTCATCACAGTGCCGCCCGGAGAATAGGGTGGCACCTCCGGGGAGGTCGGGCGTGCTTGTTAAGAAAACCCCTTTACCCCTTAGAAACAAATAAGGCATGAAGGTTCCCCACTGGGCTCCCAGCACAGAGGCTAGGGCTATCACCTTCCACCGGGCTATATGGCTCCTCCGATTTATTTCTTGGGTCTCAGGATGGGCAGCAGGAACTGGAAGCCCTGAAGAATTGCTCAGGGCAAGCTGAGGACCTTGGCATCTCTTAGTTGAAGTTGGACTTCCTGAAGCCTTAACAAAAAAGTAAACCCCTGACCTAGCTGGGTCCCCAAGGGCCCCCCCACAAAGGCGGGAGGTTAAGAGCAGGCATTTTAGGGGAAGAAGGAAACATGGTCCATTCCGGTCCCATTTCAATACTGTTCAGGGTAGGGAGAGTTTTGGGCTGTTCCCAGTGCAGGGAGGCAGGAATAGACGCTGGGACCACAGTCGCATGGCACATGCCTGGGACAATCTGGGGGCGGTAGGCATGACCTACAGTGGGGTCAGCCTGTGGGGAGCATGGGAGTGAATGAGACACATCATGGTCCCTGAGGTGGGGAACAGGCAGAGGCCAAACTTGGTGAGTCGCAGGTGGCGTGCAGAGATGGGGGGCTCCCCACTGCCCAGACCCCTGAAAGGAAGGCTTAATGCCCAGAAGGCATTTGTGGAGTTGGAACCCAAGGAGGCTGGCTCAGAGGGAAGCAGGGTGTGTACCACTTGTGTATGGCTGCCCAAGGGGCTCCCTGTTCCCCTCTTCTGATTGGCTACAGATCTGCAGTGGGCTGAGGGTCTCCTGAGAGAAGCCCACCCTCACCAGGGCTGGAGTGGGGGGCACTCGAGGCCTGGCTGAGGCTTCCTGCTTTGCATGGCAGGGGCCGCCTCTGACCTGGTCAGGACCCTGGGGGTGGGACAGCTGGTGCTAAGGGAATGACAGTGAGTCACAGCTGGGGAGAAGCAGTGGGTGGTCCAGGAGACCCCCAGAACCTGCAACAGCTGGCTCTGGGGGGGGTGTCCCCCTTCAAGTGTTTCCAGTTGTTGGCAAGGGGTCAGGGAGATCTCGCATTTCAGATCTCTCTCAAAAACAAACAAACAAACAAACAAAACTTGGGAAAAAAAACCAAAACCAACTGGTCCAGAATGGCTTTCAGAAGCTTGGCCACAAGTCTGAGAGCAAGGCCCAGAGTCAGAAGCTGGGGGATCTGGGAATCCCCAGGGGAGTGGGGAACGTTTGGCTTTGAAACTCTTAGCTGTGCCTTTGGGCTGACACAGGATGGTGGAGGGTCCTGAGAGGCCGGATGTGCTGACCTCTTCCCACATGGGCAGGGAACAAGCTGTGTCCACCCACACGCTTCCCCGTTCAGAGCCGCCTCCACTGGCATATGTCACTCACCAGAGGCTGCACAGCCCAGGCATCAGGGACCCATGGCCTGAGCCTGAGGGAGGCTGCAGGCTGGGAAAGGGTCACTTGCTGCTGTGGGTCTTGACCTTGGTGGCGTTGATATCGGCCTTGGTCTTCTGGATCCTGGAGAAGATCTCCTTGAAGAGCGCCTTGTACTCGGGCTGGCTCTGCTCCAGCCGCTTGTCCACGGCCTCCACGTGCTGGCTCAGGCTCTTCTCACCTGCCTTAGCCTCCCCCTGGCCGTCCTCGCCCCCCCGCAGGTCCCTCCATGAGCTGTCCCGGGAGATGGGCCGCGAGGTCTGCACGCCGGCATGTCGCACCCCGGCCCGGTGCTGCCGGCACTTGCTCAGCAGCTCCTCGTACTTCTCGAGCAGCGCGTGGTACTGCTCGTCCACCTCCCGCAGGATGGACATGCCCCGCTTGCGCACGCTGTTGGCGTGCAGCGTGAGGTTGCCCGCATGCCGGCTGGCTGGGTCTTTGGCCACAATGGCGTTGAGCGCTGTGTCGCTGCAGCTCTTGCGGACGGCGTGGCTCGGGGAGGTGGCTGGGGAGGAGATGCCGTCCTGGGTGCCCAAGTTGTCGCCGCTGCCTGGCTGAGGGTCATCGGCTTCAGGTGCCTGGGTGAGCGGCGCCAGCAGGGCCTCGGCCAGGTGGTCCTCCCGGCCCAGCAGGTAGGTCTTCGCCTGCTTCATCTGCTGCAGCTCCAGCAGCTCGGCCTCCAGCTCCTGCACGCGGAGGCGGCAGCCCTCCATCTCGCACAGCTGCTGCTCCAGCTCCGAGTACTCCTGGAGCACCGCTGCGAACTCCCGCTCCGCCCGCTCCTTGCGCTGCCGCTCCTGGCTGACCTGGGAACGCAGCACTCCCACCAAGGTCTGCAGCCGCTCATTCTCCTGCTCCAGGGGCCTGGGGCCCAGCTCCAGGGAGGAGCTGTGCAGGCGGAAGGCATCCTCGCACCTGGGGGAGAGAGGGCGGCAGATGGGCAGAGCGTGGTCATGGCCAAGTCCCGCCAGCCCAGTCCTAGACGCTTAGATCTTTCTAGTCCACTGGCCCGGATATTCTGTTTGCCCCTCTAGATCTACTATCAGCCCTTCTCCCTCTGCTGTCTGCCCTGGAAGGCTAACTTCAATGGCCTGCTTCAGCCGGGTTTCTTGGCTCTCTCCTGAGCTCAGCCAACGGGAAGCACTGGCAGGAGGTAGGAAGGTGGCAGCAGACCAAGGTGGTGGGAATGTCTCCCTCAGGTTCCTTCCCTGATTAGTGTGGGCCGGGCAGCACCCTTAGTGCCCTCTAGGTTCCAGTAGCCTCCCCGCCCCGGCCCCTCTGGGTCTGGGGATAGTAACAGCTCCTCACTATTGCAACCTTGGGAAATGCAGTGTCCCTCTCCGTCCGTCTTCCCATACCTTGTCCACACCTCTTTATTAATCACTCCTCAATTACTCTGTGCAAGGCACTGTTGTCTCTTGCCAAGACCCTCATTGAAACACTCATTAAATATACCACGTGTATTCTTACGTTGAGAAATCCTCCCATGAAGAAGGTTTAATAGGAACTGAAAGGTGTAGTGGTTAACCAATCCTGGGTTAACCACTGAGCTTCGATTTCCTCATGTGAGTAGTGGCGATGATTAAACATGCCTCAAGGTATCACTATGATTATTAAGTCACTTAGCAGAGTTGTGGGCACATGGTGGTGCTCAGTAAATGCTAGCGGCTATTGTTTGCAACGGGACCAGTCTCTCCGATAGCCTTGACAACGTACCAACTCTCTTGTTCCCACCTGCTGCCTGGGGCCCATCCTCCCCTTCCTCCCCTGGCTGGCAATCCTGGGCACTCGGAGATACCGTCCAGGGCCCAGGCTGCTCCACCCACGAGCGGTGCCCTCACCTACCGGGCACTGGTGCACAGCTCCTTGAGGCAAGGGAAGGTGTGGATGGTGCGTCTTCGGTCCCGCTTCTCCCGGCGCACGCGCAGCTGCTCCAGGCCCCGCAGCTGCTCCACCTGGGCCTGCAGCTCCTCTACCTGGGCCTGCAGGTGCTCAATGGTCTCTGTCAGCCTGGGGGTAGGGTGGGGGACACGCATGGGAAGGACTTTAAGGGGACAGGCCAGCCCTCCTCCCTGCAGCCCTGGAGGGCTGTGGGGTTGGGGACAGATGGGCAACCTTGAGCCACGCTGCCTGGTGCTGAGGTCAGACGGGGAGCTCCAAGTACCCATGCTTCTCCCATGCCTCCTAGGCCAAGTTAAGCATTTCTCCTCTGCGCCACTTCAGTTCTCTGTACAACCCTTCTACCACATATCACCCTGAATCGCAACAGAATATTTACCTGCCCGCCTTCCCTCCCAAAGGGCTGGACAGTGTCTTTGTAGCCCCATCCCTGTATCCCCAGTGCCTAAAAAGAGCCTGGTGCATAGTTGGTGCTTAAAGGGTTGTGGCCTGAATGTTAAACCCGTCCAAATCGACAAGGGCAAACTCACTACCATCCCAGGTTCCCAGGCCTGGGCTTCTGGGAGGAGCAGGAGTTACGCCCCTGTGCACACCCAGCCCTGGGCCTCTCCCTCGCCCACCCTGCTCCCCCCAGCCCTCCACCCTGCCCTCACCCATGGATCTTCTGCTGGGCAGCCTTACTCTCCAGCACTAGCTTCTGGTTGGTCAGCTCCAGGTCTCGGGCTGTCAAGTCCAGCTGTTCGTACACTTTGGCGTGCTGTTCATTTACGTGCCGCAGCGTGTCCAGCTGTTTGGTGAGGTACTGGGGGGTTGGGGGGAGAGGGGGGTGAGTAACCTTTCAGAACAGGGTTGGGGAAAATGTCTCCGCCTGGGCCCTCCTCCCACTTCGAGTAGCAGGTTTGCTTTGGGGAATTAATCTGCAACAGACGAGGGGGTAAAGACAGTGATGCAATAGGGCTGCCTGGGATAGTGGTGCAGGATGTAAACTGCACGAGGCTGTTGGGCCAAGGGCCCCTGATGGGTGGGGGCGCGTGTGCGGGGCCTGTGCGGCCCTCACCTCGATCTCCTGCACTTGCTCCTCGTTGGTGGCGTACATCTGCTGTAAAGACTCTTCCAGCTCCTTGTTCCTCTCCAGCAGCGTCTTGCCCAGCTCCGCAGCCAAGTGCAAGTCTAGAGGCAGGGAGAAAAATGAGCAGTGTGAGAAAGAAGCCAGAGGACCCCCATGAATGGTCTGAGCATTCATTCTGAGCTGGGCCTCAGGGACCCCAAGATGAGCAAGACACAGGGGCGGCCCTTGGGGAACCTCCAGACCTGGGAGGGGTGTAAGCCAGGAGCTAATTGTCCTCTCCCCAGACACTCCCAGGGCCCATCCTCCTCCCTCTTCAAGTCTCTGCTTACATGTCCCCTTCTGCAGGAGGCCTTTCCCCAACCATCGATTCAAGATCGCACCCTCCCCCACCCTGCACTCCCGCCCAGCTCAGTTTTCTCCCCTTAGCAGGAATCACCATCTGACTTATCAAACAATTTGCCCATTTATCTTGTTTGTCTCCGCTGACTAATTGTAAGCTCACAGGGTAGGGATTTTGTCTGCTTCGTTCCCTGATATCCCCAGGACCTAGAACAGTACTTGGCACAAAGCAGGTGCATAAATCTCTTTTGAAAGAATGAGTGGAATGTTATAACACAGGGGCAAAGTGCCCTGCACAATAGGTAAGGGAGAGTTCACTTCCGGGGACAGCGGGAGACTCAGACGATGAGCAGCCTTCGGGTTGGGATTGGGTGACTAGGAGCTCACTGAGAGGTGGAGGGGACAGCAGGGCTTGCTGGGTATTGGAGCTGGATGCGGCTTCAGAGCTCTTTGGCCCAACCTCCTCATTCTATGAATGACAGGCCAGAGAGGGAAGAATGACTTGCCCAAGGTCATCAGCTGGGCGATGGCCACGTTAAAAGCAGAATTCAGGTCTCCTTGCCCCAGTCCAGTAGCATTTGGTTCTAGTGACACAACCCCTCTCCAAAACTACCTTTCCCTGGGCAGCAAAACCATCCTCTTCCCCCCAGCGGCCCTGATTCTTGTACCCAGTAGGACTGGAACCTCCTCTCCCCCATCCTAGTCTAAGGTACATGAAAACCTGTCAGAGAGGCTGGGAGGGGATCTGGCCTGTTTTTAGGGGGCTGTGTGATGGGGAGGGGATAGGAGGAAGTGGCAGGTGCTGGAATCCCTAAAAATTCTATCAAGTCTGGAGCTGGATGGGGGTACCTAGACATTTGGGGGTGGATATTCTCCTAGGTATATGCACAGCTTTTTAGAAACAAAGGGAATCATATATTTCTGTTCTTTATATAGATGTATGTATATACAAATGTAGGACTCCCCTTATTTCTAAAAAGAGTTAGAGTGATGAAAATGTTCTAAAATTGATTGTGGCGATGGTTGCACAGCTCTGTGAATCTACTAAAGACAGTTGAGCTGTTGTGCACTTTTAATGAGTGAATTATTATATATCTCAATATGCAGTTAAAGAAAAAAAGATTTAGGCAGCTTGATTCAGAGACCAAGACTGGTGGTGGGGAGCAAGAGGTCCTTGGTCAAGCCCAGGCTGAGTTCACAAGGCTGTTTGCTGTTTAAAATAGCTTTAAGCACTTGATGTAAAAAAATCAAACAGTACAGAGAGGTTAAAAAATGGTGATAAAAAATTACTTGAAGGGCCGGCTGAGTGGCTCGTTAGTTAAGAGTTGGTTTGGGAGCGCAAGCTGTGAGCAGCAGGGCTACCGGTTCAGATCCCACACGGGCTGCGCCCTCTACAGCTAAGATGGTGAACAACAGCTCAACCTGGAGCTGGGCTGCTGTGAGTCGCTAGCAAGGGTGTATGTAGGCTGCAGTGGGCTGCCGTAAGCTACCATAGTGGCTGGCAGCCAGCGTGAGCTGCCTGAGCTGCTGTGAGCAGTCGTCCAATGGCCGGCGAGCGATCTGCCTCAGCCAGGAAGAACGCAATGATAAAACCAACATGGGCCAGTGAAGCGACGTCCTCCACAACTAGACTGAAGAACAAAAGGACAGCAACTTGTCTGTTCCCCTTCCCCGATTCCCCAACGCTGTTCCCTCCCCCAATTCTCCAATAAAAACCTTTTAAAAAATTACTTGAAAATGTACCTCATATATATTCTTAGATCTAAAACTGGGAATTCTATAAACAAATGAACATGGCCCCAAACGATTAGGAAGAAACAGTGCCATTGTAAGTAACTAAAGTTCCACTCTGTGTGGGGTGTGGAGGAGGGAGAGAGAGGGTAGAAGAAAGAGAACACCACCTAGAGAAAGGTGCTGTCCACATGCTGGTGACATCCTTCTAAACAGCTCTCCACGCTTAAAACAGTTATGGGTACAATTTTGTGTAAATAGAATCACATTTTTCTGTATCTGCTGTTTTTCATTGACTAATATGGCACAGATAGCTTTCTGTGCCAATGTAGACCTACAGGATCATTTTTAGTAGAAGTGAACATTCTATTGTATACAGGTCCCTAAATGGCCCTGATGGTTGGACTTTTAGGGTGCTTTCCTTTTTTTTTTCTTTCTTAAAAATGAAACTGTAACTTGGAATACAAAAATCTTTGTGCAAATCACCACCTATTTCCTGAGGAGAGAGGATACTTTCCTAGAAACAGAATTCTGGGGGCAAAGTGCAGGTCTATTTGATTCATTCTGCCTAAATGCTGTCCAGGAAGGCTTGGGTCCTTTGGCCATGACGAGGCCCTCAATCCAGGCTGATGGGGTCAATCCAGACCAGGAGGCGTAAAGGCTGCTCTCCTGGGGCCGATGTGATGCGGTACAGGGACTGAGCTTGGTACCTTTTCAGTCAGTGATGGTTCTAGGGCCCCAAAGGATGGACAGTCTCTATACTTCCTCCTGGCAAGCTTCATAAATACAGTTGTTTCAGCTGAGCCCCTTGCTCGGCACTGGACTGGCTCCCAGAGAGCAGTGAGTCCCAGTGGGCATCTGAGAGCAGAGCCTTGGGTTTTTTTTCAGCCAGCTGCGGGTAGGACTGACATCCCCTATGAAAGCCAGAGTGGCCTGACCAGCCACCAGGCCTGGAGCAAAGGCCAAGCCGTTCATCAGGAACAAGCCTGGAGTCTGCTCCCACCCGGAGAGGTGAACTGTTGAAGCAGCCAGAGTGCAGCCTCCGGCTGTACCTATGCTGGGAGGGGAGCCCTGTGCCCAGATGTCACCCGGAGGATTTCACTGGTTGAGAAGGAGTGCAGAGCTGCTATCCTAGAGCAAGGCTGCAGTAACTCAGCCTGGACAAACAGAAGCTGCTTTCCCAAACACCTACCTCAGCCATTAAACAAAATACTAGGTATATAAGCCACAGATAAGAACCTTTAGCCTTGAGCAATTAACTTTCTGATGATGATGCCAAGAAAAGCTAGTTATTAATAGCTGACACAAAAGTACTGGGGGAATGAGGACACTTGCAGTATGAGTTGGTTAACTATAAGTGGAGGTGTCTGTTTACAAGGTGTGAAGTTTGATGTTAGGACCGTGGCACTGCCACCCTGTGTTATGCTGAGTGCTTGGCGGAAATTCAGAAGCCCAGCAAGACCACCCCTAGTTCTGATGAGGGAGCCACACCATCTTCCCATTCTCTACAATGGGATGGCGAGCATTCAGCTCATCCCCAAACGCGATCAAATAATTCAGGTACAGATGAAAATGATGAACAGAGGGCCACACTCATCAGTGTTTTCTACCTTGGGAACTGTCAGGTGATCTGTGAAGAGGCCATTGCTTTTTTTTTTTTTTAAAGATTTTATTGGGAAATTGGGGGAGGGGAACAGCGTTGGGGAATCGGGGAAGGGGAACAGACAAGTTGCTTTTCTTTTGTTCTTCAGTCTAGTTGTGGAGGACGTTGCTTCACTGGCTCATGTTGGTATTATCATTGTGCTCTTCCCGGGTGAGGCAGATGAGTCGCCGGCCTCTGGACAGCCGCTCACAGTGGCTCTTGGCAGCTCACATTGCTGCCGGCTGCTCACGCTGGCTGCCGCCCACTCACGGTAGCTTAAGGCAGCCCACTGCATCAAGGGCTGTAGCCTACGCCGTCGCAGGCGACTCATGGCAGCCCAGCTCCAAGTCAAGCTGTTGTTCACCACGTTAGCTGTAGAGGGCAGTGTCTCTGGCCCTCATATGTGGGATCCGAACCGGGGTCCTGCTACTCAGAGCTGGTGTCCCAAGCCAGCTCTTAATCAACGCGCCACTCGGCCAGCCCGGCCATTGCTATTGATGTCACCGCCTACGTTGGCATCAGGGGACAGGCTCTGTGAGTGGCCTGTGCAGATCCACTGCAGCTTAGCCTAGAGTCCAAGGCTCAGAGGTGGAGTGAGGAATGGTCATGAACCTTTTGCTCTTCTTCCCAGGTGAGCATCTGAGCTGTGTGTATTCCTACTGCCAGCAGGCTGGGGCAGCTGCAAGTCACACTCTAAACCTGGGACATCGCCCTACAAAGGCAGTGACTGTGACCTGAGCCGCACAGTGATTCAGGAGTGGGGGAGAAGGGGATACAACAGAAGCTGTTGGGGTAGGTGAGACTCTCTGGGACTGCCTCAGAGAAACCAGATCACAACGCAAGCAAAGCTGGTCAAAGCTGCCAGGAGGGATCACGAGAGGACTCTCGAAGCTGCACGGCCAAGGACTGAGTAGAGCCAAGTGCTGGGGAAAGGACACTAGCTAACTGAGGGCTCCAGGGAGGGTGCAGCTCCCCATGGAGCAGAGCTGGAGGGAGGCCTGGGTGTGGGAGAATGGGTGAGCTGGCTAAGCTGGAAGTAGAAGCAGGAGAAATGACCAGCTTGTCCCAGCCAGGTGAAAGGTCACACTGGACCAGGCTGGGGAAGGTACTGAGTCTGAACAGGCACCTCTCTTGCCTGGCTCCTGGGACTTTCTGGGGTCTCCTGCAGTGGGCTTCAGCAGTTTTACTGCCTGAATGCCTGTGAGGTGCTGCCCAGGAACAACGCCCCAGAAGCCTGAGAGGGAATGGACCAGAGAAAAGGGGATGTCTTTGAAAAGAAACACTGAAATCCTACTGCCCCTCATCGGTTGGGGTCTGGTGGGCCCCACAGACTCCAGAGCAGGGAGATGGGAAAGGGACAGGGGACAGACACAGGGAAGAAGAGACAAAGATAATGGGGTGGGTGGCATCTATCACCTGGCAGGGCAGTAGGGGTCCTGCTCACAGCCTGCAGGGCACGAATGTCAGGAACTCTGCGTTCACAGAATTGAGGTCCAGTCACCTCCTCCCCTTGCCATTCAGAGCTCTTAGCCCAAGCTGAGGCTCAAGGTCAGGTGGCTAGGGCTTCAAATCTGTGACTCAGCAGCCATGTCTCAGCCTGCAAAGAGGTACCCACAGGACTCACCAAGCCTGGTCCAAGGTGGGGAGGGAGGCGGCAGAGAGAGAATGCCAGTGCTTAATAATTGATGACTTTTTCTATTTTTACAGGTGCTGTGGCAGTGGGCAGAGGAAACACAGTGAGAATCGGGACCTTGCTTGTCCCAAACTCCCTCCTCTATTAGAACAGAACAGCATCAAAGTCAAACAGGATCTCAGTGGCCAAGCTTCTGAAAGTGAAGTTGGGGCCTGCCCTAGGGGGCAGAGGAAACAGACATGGAGGGGAGACCAGGCTGGCTGGGCAAACCATTTCCTGGGCCACTCAAAGGCAACTAGGGAACAAGTGGGCAGGAGAGAAATTTGAGGACTGGGTGTAGGGAAGGGGGACACAACAGGCACCTGATTCTCACTGTGGTTGGCCTTCGGCCCATGCTCACCCCATCATCCAGCTCTCCATGCAGGGGTAGTGCTACAGTACCCGTGCTGGGTGGGGCTTCCTCCAAACCCACCCCCAGCACTCTAGATAACTTCTACTGTCCAGTCATGCACGATCTTCTCAAGTTGCTACATGTTGCTCCGTACCTTGTACAAGCGAGCTGTCCACCTAGAATGCCTGCATTCCTTCCTCTGCCCAGGGAGCACCTATTTACCCAGCAGCTCAGAGGCACTTTCATATAAACCTTTCTAAGTCTCACAGCAGAAGGCTCTCCAGTCTCTGCTTGCTGCAGAACCCCTGTAGCTCTATCACAGTTGTTTGATCCCCTTTCTGCTTCCTCTGCTGGAATGTGGAGTCCCCTGAGGGCAGAGAGCACATCCCCAGGCTCAGCACAACACTCGTCCATGGCAGCAGACATTTGGTTCCTGGTCAAAAGCTCCAGTTTCTTTTGAGAGTGTCTCATTTTTGGTTTCACTCCTTGTTCCTGGACTCTGGCTATTACTGGAGTATGAGGGGAAGCCGTCCACTGCAAACCAGCTTGGCCCACCCCCATCCTGGCCCAGAGCAGGGCTGCCCAGCCCAGTGGGACCAGTGGGAATCTCGACACCTCTCTGGAAGCAGCACAACTCCCACCCCTACTTCCTGGCTCCTTTCTTCCACATCTGGGCTGGGCCCGGTGCCAGACACTTTCAGAGACTTCGTTAAGGGTGCAGGAATGAAATGAAATGAGACAACAATATCAGCATCTGCCTCCAGGGACACCATCTTCCCAGGTACTCAGTTTCCAATCTTTCCTTCTAGGCCCACCTCCTCCATGAAGTCTTCTCACTGCATCCTATTATGCAGACTCAATTACAGGCCCACTTCCACCTGTCCAGGGCCACCTAGTGGGCCAGGGCTGAAACTATTCCCAGCTCCCAGGATAGTGTCTGACACTTAAGTACAAAGCCTGATAGATGTTTGTGGGATGCAAAATTTGGGGGGAGGGGTTGTTGAAGCCAGTGTTGGGCCTCTCACTCCAGGCAGGGAGGCTGATGGTAGACTCTGGGGCAGAGTATGGCAGGGTGCAGCCCAGCACACCCGGTTCCACACTAGTCCTTCAGAAGCTCTGATTACCCCACATTCCTGAGCACAAGGACAGACAGAGCCTCATCTACCAGCAAATCTGGTCATGTGGGGATGTGGGTCGGGACCAGGAAACAAAGGTTCCAGGATCTGGGCAGATGCCTCCCATGAAGGCAAAGCCAGCAGTCAGAAGGGGCTCTGAGGATGGGGTCCCAAAGCAAGAGTGTGGGCACACACTGAAGCATACTTGTGTCCACACCGCCAGGCTTGCTGGGGGGCTGTGGTCACTTCTCCTGCACATGTTTCCTTGCCCCTCCAGCTCTGGTCATCCGAGGATGAGGCATTCTCGGGGGAGGAGAGGGTGGATTTGACTCCGCTCCAGCAGGACTTGGACCTGACCCTCTTAGGCATCCTTCTCTTTCCAGTCCTAACAGCCCGCCCCCTACTCGGAGTGATGTCACTTCGGCCACCTCATCACCAGCGTCTAACCCCCTTCTAGTCATCTTCTTTGCCCTCAGACAGAGCGGGGAGGTGGCTCCCTCTTTACACAGGACCTCATCTGGGCCCTTGCTCAGAATCCTCAAACCTGGTCTCCTCCAAACCATGAGCCATTTGGGAGGGGGGCAGGAGGGGAAGGGCCAGGGGATTCCTCCCTCGGGAAGACAGATTGGAGACTCGAAGTCTCTCTTTCTCCCCCGACAGGGTCCTGCACCCCCATCCCCTCCCTGGGGAGATGGAAAGGGAGTTGGGAAAACTTTCTGGGAGTCCTAGAACTCAGGAATCCTGGCAGGGAAGGGTGTCGCTGGATTTGGGGGATAACTCCCCCCCCCCAACACACACACACACACACACCACACACCCCTTCCAGCAAAACATAACTAAGGAGCCACCTCCCAGCCTCCAAAGACTCCCAGCCAGGACTCAGTTCCCTCACCAATACCAGGGGTCCCTGGGAGTTCCTGCCTCTAAGTTGGGCCGGGCAAGCTGGGTGAAGTGTGCCCCTGTCCTTCCGGGAAGGAGGAAGTCCGTTCCCCCGACTTTTGCAGGTCTCGGCGGGTCCGGTCCGGGTCCTCCCGGGCAGCGCCCTTTCCCTCCACGTCCCCATTCTCCACACGCATTACCCCTCGGAGTCCATAGCGCGGGGTCCAGCCCATCCCTTCCGGGGTGATACCGCCCAACAATGGAGAAGCGGACAGGGTCGCAGGGCGCAACCCGCTTTCTCGCCCCCCTCCGCCATGCTCACCCTGCTCCAGGTCCTGCTGGTCGTACCAAGGCTCCTCTTCCTCTGCAGAGAAGTCCTCCATCCCGGCGGCCCTCCGCATGGCCCCGTGGGCTGTGGGAGGGCGCTGCGGCGACGCGGCGACGCGGCTCAGGGCCGGGGCGCGGGGCCCGGGACAATGCGGCGGAGGTGGGCCGGGTCTCCCGCGTCGCGGACTCCGGCTACAGAACCCCTGATCGCGCTGCGCCCCTTCGCCATCGGCCGCTGACCCGACGCCCACACGGGGCTGGCGCGCCGCCGCGGTCTGGTCCGGCCGGGGTCCTGGGGAGCCCGGGACACCGAGCAGCAGCGGCACAAAGGGTGGAGGGGAGGGGACGGCGGGAGGGACCGCGGCAAGGAGGGTCGGGGCCGGCCAGCAGGTCTAAGGCACTAGGATCGCGCGGCTGCCGCGGCGGGCGCCCCCTGCCCGGCTGCAGCCCGCGCTGCCCCCACCCGGCCGAGAGACACCCGGAGCCGCCGCTGCATCTTGGCTGGGTCCACCCTGCGCTTCCCCCACCGCCCGCTCCACGGGGTGGGGCCGGCCGCCGGCGACCAATCAGAAGACGTATGCAAAGCTGGAGGCGGGGCCGAGGGCGGGATCTCCCTGGTGCCTTGGTCTGGCTGCGGCTGGATCACCCCCTCCATCCCACTTCCCTCCACGCTGGGCTCCTTCAGTTTAGGGCTCACTGTGTGGAAATTATTTTCTTTTGTTTATCTATTGTTGTGTTTCTCTCCCTCTAGGTCTGAAAACAAAGATCTTGTCTCTTGTTCACAGCTGGCTCTTCAGTGCCTAGAATAGGCTGGCCTATTGATACCTTTCACTGACACTTTGAATGAATGACTATTTGACTATTCATTTACAATTACCTTTAAGACGTTGAGTGTTTAAATGCCGTGGCCAGAAACTCAGGCCAGGAGTGGTGAAGTTTGAGGGTGTGTGACCTGCATTCTGGGCCTTTCTCTTGAAGGTCCTGTTTCCCTCTCCTTGGGAACCATATCCTATATCCAGTTATACTCATTAAAACCAAACACGGTTTCACCTGGCCAAGCATTGTTTCCTTAAAGGAGTTTTCAGACTCAATTCTTCATGATTTTGATAAGGACCCGCCATGTGCTGGTACTGTTGCAGCACCCTGAGTATATCCAACTCTGAAAATATGTGGCAAATATATCCAACAAAGGACTTGTGTCCAGAATGTAGAAAGGACACCCACAAATCCACAAGAAAAAGAAAGACAGTCCAGTAGAAAAGTGTGTAAAAGACTTGCCTAGGCACTTCGCACGTGACTAAA